CTCCAGCACCTTGAGTTACATGGCCCCCCAGCCAGAGCTCCCCGGATCCTTCCCTGGGCCGTCTGCCCGGTTGTGTGGCAGCTCTTCAGCACACGCCGTGCTCATCGCTTTCGCCCTTCCTGCAGCAACAGTCACCAGCAACAGCACCTGTGAGCCGACCCCTGTACGTCATACAAACCCAAAAAGTCTTGATCATTTTGTTTTTCCCCATCTCTCTTTCCCGTTTGTAAACTGAGGGACCATCACCTCTCCTTTCTTTAGTTCGTCTCCTTCAGCTGCACACCAAAACCATGACAGAGCAGGAGGGGTGTTTTTACAATGGGTGTGCTACAATCCAGGCTCCGACTGTGGCTCTGCTTTTTGGACCTCAGACACTGCTGCAATATAAAAACCCCCACTAGGCTGGGTCTACCCATTGGAAAGTACTAACAGGGACTGCTTGATAAAATGTCCTGGTCATTATTTTCTCAAGGTGTTTTGTCCCAGCACTGATGTTTTAGTGAAACTGAACAAATATATTCAACTCCCTTAATTCTTTTGTGCGATTTCTGCCTCAGGGTGTTACATACCATTACTGTGTGCTGTTAAATACCTGTTGCGTTTTATTCCAAGGTGACTAAAATAATTATTTTTCTGGTTACTAAAGCATTTGGCAGCTTCCAGGATGAAAGTGAATACAGAAATGCCAAACATTTACTATTCTAATAGGCAGCCATCAGTGCTTTATGAACTACCCCATTACAGCCGAAAAATATCATTGTGATTTCACAAAGGGTCTTGAGAACATTTGCTTTAAATTGAAAGACTCTATTTCTACTATACCAAGAACACTGTTAATATCGATCCAGGTGCTCCATGGAGCAATCTAATCTTTTCATTGTGGCACTCTTGAAAATCCCATCTAGTGCACTGGTAAAACTGCATCTTTCAAAGTTACCAACAGTAAAAAAGCAAATCGTTACATTTTTCATTAATTAAAAAAGGCTTATAATAGCATTAATGATCCTTTCACCAGAGTGTGTCATTTAAGCAATGGCAGTCTAGCACATTAACTTCCCTTGGCTTTGCCTTGGCCTTTTAACTCCTCCAACTGATTATTACCTAATTTGTAAAGTCTCCCAAATGGGTCATTAGCGCTTAAATAGATTTCTCCTGCTGTTTGGTATATACCCTAGAAACACTAGGCTGTCAGAGAGATGACTGGTTTCGAAGTAGCTCTTTCTGGGGAAAAAAAAAAGTTAAAGAAATGCCAAATTAAATTAAGTTTGTGAAATGAATCATGGCTTGAAATATCCCCAATACATGATTAACTAAGACATCACACAGAAAATTTTTTTTCCACAAAAGAGGACTGGCATCAGAGCATATGCAAGCATATGTGCCCCTGTAAGCACCTGCAGCTCCTGCTGCTTCCCATCCGTAACAGCAATCGTGCAACCAGGCAGTCATCTAAAGTGCTAAACTGGGAAACCAAGGGGGAAGGCTCATGGCACTAGGACCTGTCCTCCTGACATGGTGACCTTCCTCTCTGCCTCCCCAGTTCAGCCCAGAAATCGTGAAACAAAGGCAGAGCAACCTGAGACCACAAGCAAATCGGCAGCATTTGGTCCAAGTATATGAACTGCCCAGGGCAACACTATGTTCACCGACCACATGAGGGATAACGGCCACTGCCAAGTGAGAAAAGTAAAAGATTGTTTGGCCTTTCTCAGCCCCAGCTTACATTTTGTATTTTTTTTCCTTACTTTACAATATGATGCAGGGCATGAGACTGAAATAAGTCAGCGTGACTAAGTAAAAATGCTTTGAACTAACCCACTCATCTGCAAGCTATTCATGTGAAACAGAAGAAATGACTACTGGCCGGCATATCTGCACTGCAGGAACTTTGAATACGGAGGTATTGAACAAATTACATGTTTCCACACAAAGAAAGTAACATTTCAGGTATAACAAGACTCCAACTTTTTCAACTAAACTCGACTAATATAACAACTACTATTAGCAAATGCTTCCATTTGTTTATGCAGCAACCTCTTTGTTCTATTCTTTTACTTTTATAAATCTTTCGGATTCCCTCCTCCCCTCTGTCTCTCTCCACTTTACTTATTTTCAATGCAATCATCACATTTTTCTCAAAACAGGCTACTCTGTACTAGTTTTACCTGGTTTGCTGAAAGGGCAACGCCTGTATGTTTTATGCCCTTAGCATGGACAAGAGTTGTGGTGTCTTCTGAGATTAAAATCACATATGTGGATCTGCAGAACATTAACTAACATACTAAAATCAACATCCTTACTAGTGTTTTCATAGCAAGGAAATAGCCCTCTATCACTACGAAATTCCCAATTTCCTATTTCCATAATTTTCCTCTGGAACAACTCATGCATCCATTGTAGGTACTTCGGTCACTATGACCTTTATGCAGTATCGTGAGAGGCAACATGCAATCGCAAAGCTGAAAAACAGAGAACTCTCTGATCAAAGACTTTTACTTTCCAGAAATGGCTTTTTTAAAAAGAAATCTGCTTTATAACTTGCTCTGACAAATGTCATGGCTGGAGAAATTCTTCCTCTAAGGGAAGATTTACGATCTATAGGATAGGTTTTTTTCTCTGTATTTTTCAGGAGACTGGATTCATCAAATACAAACTGCTCTTTGATTTGTGTGTCTGCATGTTCAGCACAAAGAAATGAAATACAAGAATGGGAAAAAGGACAATAGTCTTTATAGGTAACTTTTTGGTGCATAAGTATCACCCAGTGTGATCAGCTGGAAAGTGCTGAGGTACTAGCACCGAATGATGTGGTAGGAAGAGGATTTCCCGCAGAGAAAACTACGTTTATTCTGTTCTTCACGCTGGCCACCATGTTGGCAGGCACACCAATACCCTAGCAGATGGTTTCGAGAAGGGACTGCCAAAACACCACATGCAGAAAGTTGCCCTTCATGGGAGGATTTCAGCTGAGGAACAGCCAACTTTTGAGATCAGGGTACCAGCTGAAATGTTGCAGGACACAGCCCAGAGCAGAAGTAATTGTAAGGACAACCTAATTCAGGACTTGCCACCTCTGAATAGCAAACCAGAAACGAGAATGTAACTCTTCTTCCTTGGAACCAGCAGCAACCAAAACCCGTGACGCAGCTCAGTTTTCCTCTGACTGGGTTACAAATGTGTAGGTAGCTAATGGGCCTGTGACTCAAGGCTCAGATTGGCCAAGGGCCACAACACAGGTCATCTGAACTTCCACTGGTGAGGACTGAGGCCATTTGAGCTTTCACGTGGGGTTTCAGGAGGATAAGCTTAGTCAGCCTGGAAAGGACAAATGCAAGTACAAAATCCGAGCAAGAACAGTCAATGAGGTCTTGTTGACAAAAACGCCTCTGAATGACTTTTGTGCTCAAAGTTAAAAGATTGTTTGAGTTTTTCCCTGAATCAGGGTTGAATGTCAAAAATATCAGACTCAGGGGGTGATATGAGGTTATCAGCTGACTTCACCGGGATATGGTACCACCTTTTGCAAGCTGCTTTTTTATTCATTAATACATTGCTACACCTGAAAAGAAGATGAGGGCTACACTGGAAAACATTTAAATGTGCTCTGATCTCTGGGAATCAGCGGTAACCTGCAGTCTCTCCCTCTGAAATGGACCTGACGCCACAGCTGTCCTGAAATCTAGGTGCCGTATTTTTGTCACCTTCTGCAATTTTGGCTGTAGAATTCTCAAATGGCCAGCCACTCAACTCAAATGAAGGGCGTTCAGCACTTTTAAATCCTCAAAGAGAACCACGGTCTCTGTGGTTTGCATATAAAACTGAGAAAAATACTAATCTTACCATTGAAGGATGATGCTTTAGGTAACGGGATACTCTATTCTGAAGTCAAATAGCTGCTGCCAAATTACAGTTAGCCCCATAAGTACACGGAACTTTTTAAATCATAAAGGTTTGTAAAAAGTACTATTTAGTGACTCACAGTTTTAAAATGCCCAAGACAACATTCAAAAGTAATGTGACACTCACAGTCTCTATGCTTGTCTCTTTGGTTAGGCTGAATATCATCATTACTGGCAAATAAAATGATTTAAAAAAATAGTCTTTATACAATCCAATTGAAGACAAATCTATGATGTTTTAATATTTGGTTTGTATTTCTTCTCCCACTTGTGAGTTTTCCCGATTCAGTATTTTTTTAAAAGTCAAAGAATAATTTGCTGATAAAAAAGGCATTGTAGCATATTTCCAATGTACACAGTATTTAAGTCTAGGTAAATCAGCTATAAATTAGTATATTTCACATATAAAAATGCTCTTTATGTTTACATTTTAGGCCACAAACTAGTCTCACACTGTTTAAAAGTAGGCACTTAGAACAACCTGCACTTGGCCAAAAATAATAACCATCATTTTTTGGTTACTGCATAACTCCGACAGCACTTCTCTTTGGAATACGCTTATCAGACCAATCTGCACAGCTGATCACTCGGTATTACCAGCCTGAAGTAGAAACTGAAAATAGCTTCAGTCTTCCTTGTTCTTCCTCACTCTCCTTGTTTCAAGGAAAGGCGTAACACATACTTGAAGACAACAGCTGGAGTTTTCCCCCAGAATAAGCCCCAGCAGCCGCCTCTTGTGCTTTCAAAAGAGTTTGTTGAATCACTTGCACCACTTGCACGTTCTTACATGGGAAGATCCCCCACTCCCACGCGCTGTAACGGGCTGCAGAGCTGAAGCACTGATGCTGAGCACTACTCATCAGGCACCAACTTAGGGGAACTGTTTCTTTGGTCACGCGTTGCTTAATCATGAAAGATGATGGTCTGGAGTGGACAGTATTTTTCTTCATCCTGAGCCACGGCAACCCTCCCAGGTTATTTCAACACCTGGCCATACGTGTTGATGCAGATCCCATCCTGTTTGTCCCTGAGCTGATAATATTTGTCCCAACGGTGCTGGCTGTTTCACCGGGCAGTTAATATCCGTGTGAAGCCATGTCATTACTTCCCTGAATATCCAGGGTATGGAGGGGGTGGGGGATACTGTATCGAAGTCTGCGGGGTTGGAGTATAAGGTGGAGGTAGGTCAGCTGGGTAGTCCATTTCGTATTCGTAGCTGTATGGTGGTGGAGCCACTGAAATGGGAGAAAAAAAGAAGACATAGTTAAAAATCTTTTCATCAGATGCAGGCCCCCAGGTGTTTTCTAGTTGACATTCAGACTTCCATACAACAGACCTAAGTCTCCTGGCAATGTGCTCATTTTTCTTCCAGACTGTCATTATGCAGTCATTTTTTGTCAATGCAAGTCCTTGCTTATTGCCCTTTCCTTCACTGCTTAGCCATGTGCCCACTGACATGTTGTGCTGGTAACTGTTTGAGTGGCCACACGGCAGATGATACCAGGGAGATGTAGCAGAGCTAAAACTTTTCAGAGGAGGAAGGTTCAGTTTCTGTCAGATCCATTCCCTTCCACCTCCTTCAGCACCAACATGGATTTATGTTGTCTCAAAATGACGGGGTAGCCAGGCCTTTCACTGATCTCCACAGACCTCTCAACACCCTCTGGATACCCAGATGTGTAACATACCAAACCCAGCAGCATCACACCTTCCAGGGCAAACGCCAGACATCTTCCCAGGATGTTCCCAGGGCTCTGGCTGAGAAAGAACAAAGCTTTGCCTTGTTCACCCCAATGGAGGCATCTGAGGAGAGCCCAGCATTTGTAAACTGGGTTAGGTGTTTAGGAAACAACAAAAATATTTACAAACAGCTGAAAACATTTTCTCAACTACTTCTACTAACCTTAGAGAAGAAGGATTAATTCAGTGACCAAAAAGACAGTAAATGCCACAGAATGATAGCATGGTAGGAACTGAAGGCTCCATATCAAGACGCCATTAGATTAGTGTCTACAAATTTTAAGTTCCAGAGCCTGCTCATGTCACCGTGTCACTGTTAAGGTCCAGAGTCTGCTCATGTCTCTGTTTATGTCACCATGGATGCTTTCCTCTCCCCTCCCTAAATGTCTCAAGCAGACTGGCAGTGAAATAGCACTTAAGAGAGAGAGGAAACAGAAACCTGGGATGTTTGTGATTGGGGGTAGAGACCCAAATCCCAGTGCGCCATGAAAAGCACTCCCCGCTCCCTGAAAACCTGGCTGTTGCTGTGCCTGAGGCCAAAGGAAGGGCATCCCCTCACTTGCCTTTCCTGACCAAAAGGGGCAATGGCAGGGGGGAGGGTTGGTCACAAACTCTGCAGCCAAAGCTAGGTCAGTTGTTACTCCAGAAGTGCTCATGACAGCGGGGAATACAGAAATCATTTCAGAGCTTCCCCATCCTCCAAAACCTGCTGCTGCTGAGAGGAAGAACTGCTCGAACTAATGTTTGCACCAGGAACCAGGAGCGTGCAGAGTCAAACTGCCTGGAGGTGGAGAGATAGGTGTGAGTCATTGCAGGAGCAGACTTGGGGAGGAAACGGCTGCAGCCCCAGAGTCTTCATTTTGCTCTTGTTTTTATAGCTTGCAGTGACTATTAGATTCTGAAGTAGCTCTTCAGCAATTCATGGTTGAGAATATTGCAGTTTTCTTCCATTACTCATCTCTCTATGCAAAACAACGTTGCAATGATAAGGATGATTATAGATGGTTTTAGTTTAACTGGAAAGTAAGAGCACGAAGGAAAAAACAGACACTGAGAGCAGTGAATGTGATGAAGGAACATGTAATGAATATTGCATAGCTTGCCTGTAAGTATACATAAAGCACCTGGGGTTTGCTGCAACTTGTGCAACAGGAGGGAATATAAAGGCAGGGGATCTCTAAGAGTGGGATGAGGGGACTTCATCCATGAAAAACACCATTGCCTCTTACTACAGTGAACTTTCAAGTTATCCCAAGGCAATCGCTCCTGGATTTGTAATTAACAATGTCACTGAAGCAGAGACACAGCTGCATTGCATAAACACTGTTACGCTGCTTCCACGGTCAGCTTTGCTCTTCAACAGTGCAGCCACTTTCATGCAGTGGGCAGTCCAGACAAATGAGCCTTGCAGACCCCAGCTGGACGGGTGCAGATATACCTTTGGTGCCCCTGTGACCCAATCATAGACTGGCACGAGTTCACAAGTGCGGTGCAGAGAGAGGCTCTGCACAGAGCTAGCTCTGGTACAGCCCGATGTACCAGTTCCCAATCACTATGGGCACAACTGCACTGGAGGAGACCCATGAGGGGTCCCTACTGTCCCCTGGGGTGCCCCAGAGCCTGTGATAGCTTACTAGCTCAGTGCCATATATGACTTAGGCTCTGTGTCTCCCCCGGTGCTGCCCTGCACCTAAGAAAACATTACACCAAAACGATGTTAACCCACAGACAAGCCTGCGTTGAGCAGTTCCAACACTCAGCTAACTCCGACCAAGGCACAACAGGCATCTCTGCACCCTGCTCCAAGTTCCTATCAGTTCAGGCATGGTGCCAGGTGGATGCAGAATGCTAGCTCGGATCCAGCACCGCATGCCAGCCAGCAGTCCCTCCTGGGACACCCAGCAGAGAACACCCTGCAAAGACACCTGTGTGCCTTTGTAGAAGTCATCTGGGATCCTGCAGCACCCAGCAGGGCTTGTGAGCTCTGGCCGAGTACCAGCGCTCTGGCCAAGTACCAGCCAGCTTGGGCTGCACTAGGCTCCACATGGCACCACTCGAAGCCTTTGCGCTATGATCCACAGACCTCACTGTCCAGTTTTTCCCCTCTCTGCCGTACGCCAGGCCCCCCGGACAATGAAAGAGAAGCGACTGCCTGTGAACAAGAGCAAATACAAGAACCAGATCACAAAAGAACCACTGATGCATCGCCAGAGAGCCCCTGGCACGTGAAGAAGGTCTATCCTGCACAATGCAGCACCGCCCCGAGCGAGGTCTCAACACGCTGCTGCGGGCACCGCAAGCCATACAGCCGTGTGAGGATGGCACCTGGCCAGATCTCATTAAGCCCACTGAGTAGCTGAATAAATTAGCCCAGGCAGAGCGCGGCACTGACGAACGCTGCGCACGCTGAGCTGTCTTGCGTTTCTCAGCAGGGAGTCATGCCGTTCCCCTCCGCGGCCTGACACGAGCCTCCTGCCGTATTCACATCCCCCATTTACTGCAGAGCCATAACTATCCAAAGACATGCTCCTGCCACGAACACAGGCACTCTTGCAGGGCTGTCATTTCGCTCCCTTACCTGGGTATGTGCTGATAGTGTTGATGTGTGTAGTTCGAATGACCCCTACTCGAGTCCCACGGTTGTTCTTCATGCACATGCAGATACAGATGGCAATCCCGGCAATCACTCCCATTATAAATACTATACCGAAAACGATTCCAGCTATCGCTGTGCCTCTGCAAGGGGAATGGAAACATGCAGTCAGTTTCAGCCAAATAACGTCTAGAAAACAAAATTCTTTTCTCAGGAGTGGCCCCCATTTGAGAAAAAAAAGTGCATATTGACTACTGAAAATGCTGCAAATTTTGATCCATTAGGACATCTGAAGAGAAGAAATGAAAGATCTCTGAGACCAAAATGAGAAACTCTTTCAAAGTCGCATGTGCAATCGTGCCGGATCACTCTGCTGATTTACCGCATATTAAATTCTCCCATTCCAGGGCCATCTGAATTTAACAACTTTTAAATATTACCAAGAATAATGTCTTCCTTTTCCCGTCATCACATAAGACTTTTTTTCCTAAAGGCCTTGGTATGATTTTCTTTTGAAAAGTAAGAGTAAGTTATTCCTAGTAATATATTCCAGAAGCATCCCGAAGTGCCTGCACGCTGTGCTGCCACAGGAATGGTTTTGTCATTGTTTTATCTTAGGTCAAAAAGTCCTTCTGCTATGCTTCTGAGCCCACTGACTAAGGAGAGGCTCTTCTTCTTGAGGATGAGCAGCAAGAAGCAAGCAAATGCCCACTCTTTCACATATCTGCTGCTGCAGCCAGTGCAAGTATTTGAGGCTTAAATGATTTCTTTTAAGACAGTCCAGAGGAAAGAATTTAGCTCAGCCCCTGAAGTAATGAATCAGACTTTCCTTGAAATCATATAGAGAATGGAAAGGAAGCCTTATTGCACTGACACATGGGAGAAAAACCTCACCAAGAGGTATTGAAGAACTCCCAATAATATTGAGGGCAAAATCAGCCTTTCTGATGAACCCTAGTTCACTCAGGTTTGTTGTCAGGCACAGGTAAGTGAAGCATATGTTATATGAAAGATAGTATTTATAGCCTACCCTTTTCTGAAAGAAAAAACCCCAGTGAATTGCCAGAAATATTCTTACTCTATGCATCTCTTCATCCTCCAGCAAAGATTTCTAATAGCAACCTTGCTGGCAACTTTTTTACTGGACATTTTAATCAATCCAAACTGATAGTTTGTCAACATGAATAAGGTCCACTAGAAATTACTGCGATGTAGAGAATAAAACAGGCACTGCAATACCACAAAGACAAATATTAAAAGGAGTCTAAACCATACTTCAGCTTCCCTATACAAGTGTGGGAACACACAGCAGGCCTGATTTTCAAAATGCTGATAGCCTACTGGCTTCCAAAAAATCTGCAAGAGTTAGGATGGACTCAATACTCCAAAAATTAGAACTTCTATTTAGGAACTTAAATATGAATTTAAGAGCTTGTTTTTAGGCCTCAACTATTCAGGAATTTGGCCAAGATTTCCCGTACAATTACTGAATTGTATAGCATAAGTAAACATAGACAATTTGCTGTCTTACTAAAATATACTGCCAGGGAACTAAATTGCTCTCTGCTGTTATATAGCAATGAATGAAAGTGTGCAGGGAGAGTAAACCTGTTAATATTTTGCAGAATATATAAGGTCTAATTTACAAAACCCTAACTCATGGCAGCAAGCACCTGGCTGTAAAACCAGTAGCTCAAAACACTGATGTGATCAAGTGCTTTGGTGTTAACCGCTATGAGTAACTGAGAAACACCTTCCCACCCCATCCACATCCCCGATAGTTTGCATCTAACAAAAAGAAAGTCTGATGCTCTTGGGAGATGTGACCAAGAGACCTCTAGTTTTCCCATCCTGCTCTCTCTGGGGACATTACCACTACCTTGAGAGAAACTGCTGTATGAGAAAACGGTTTGATTCAGGAGAGACTTTAACACAACATTCACCTCATTCTAGAAAATTTTCTTACAGTATCACAATTAAAAATTCAAGCATAATGCACAGCACCCCTATTATAAACCACAGTGACTTGCTACTGCTTTTGCTACATCCACTTCAGGGATGAATCACTGGGTGCTTTGCTGGGAGCACTCCATCACAGAGTCGCAGGGAACTCTGTTACGCTGAAATAATCCCTCTCCCAGGTTAAAAAAGCAGATCCAGCTACTGCTGACTACTGGCCTCAGGTCCTGCATGGTATTTCTGCACGGTCCGCTGCTGCCCAGCTCCTGCCTCCCAGGCACTCTCTGCCTGGCTGATCTGCTCAAATCCCAGAAACCACAACAGTTCCTTGCACTTCTAACCAGCTGCACCCTGAGGAAAACCTGCAACCTGCTCTAGGTACAACCTGTTTTAGCAGGGGGGTTGGAGTACGTGATCTCCAGAGGTCCCTTCCAACCCCTGCCATTCTGTGATTCTGTGAAAACCCAACCTCCATCCTAAAGGCTGACAGAAGTGAGTAACACACAGCACATGTTACCTTTCCAGTGCTAAATTAAAAGTTTGCTATTAATAAAGTCCACTTTAAACACAGTTTAAACAGAGTTTGTGCCAGCTGTCCCCCAAGACAAATGTGTCCCATTTGTTCCAGAAGTGGTCAGCCAGATGCCATTTGGTCACCTGCCCTGAGTGATGGGTTGCACTCTTCATGCACCAGTGCCTACCAGGCGCCCCAGCCTCACACCCAAAGCCCACTCGCTCCTCCTGCATGAACAGCAACTGCTCCAAAGCCGTATCGCTCCACCAATTTAAATGACGATTCTGTGATACTTTACATAAGAAGTATTCACAAGGAAAGGAAAAAAGATGACAAAAGGTTTGGTACCATCTTCAAAAGGAGTTTCTACCTTTCCTGAGATATTAAGCAGATACTTATACACCTGCCAGCTTGCTTTGGGTGACTGGGCTGAGATTCAAGGACTCGTAGTCCTATAGCTTTTCCTAGTGACCCTCTGGAGGTGTTGGCTGACTGGCACTACCTTGCCTCTACAAAGAAATGGTGGCAGGGCAAGACACAGCTGTAGAAAGTCCCTCTGTATCTGCCTGCATCTGAAACTCAAAAACGGCTGAAGTCCACTGGCAAATTTCCAAGTTGGAAAAGGACTCTCACTCTAAACAGAACTATACTGGAAAGCAAAAACCATTTCTGCCAGTTTAGCAAACCCAGGTCAGTAAGCAAAATAAGGAATATCCACTAAAGAGTTATTTTGCTGGTCCCCACCATAGTTCCTGCTGGTATAGGCAAGAACCAGAAACAAAAATGGTCACCAAAGAAAATATTTACCAGCTTAGCTTTGCTAACAAAACTGGCAAGTGCAAGTCTTGCTCACAGTTCTGCAATCAGGACAAAAAGCCATTTAAATAGCTAGACCCAATGCTGCTTGTGGATTCAAGTTTTCACGCTGCAGTGGTAAATTTAGACCACCTATGGATGGTTACACAAAGAAAGCCTGAGATATGGAGCAAAAGATGGTTACAGCCTGACTGAGTACCAGCAGCAGGGTGCTCGCTGGTCTCAGTGGGCTTCAGATCAGACCTAGTGCCACACACATGAAACTGGTCTGGGAATCAAGTGTTTGAGTTGAAAAGGATTTGTTTGAGAGGACTTCAGGAGATGTACTCTCCCAAACACACGTAACACAATACATATAACGCTATACCACTCTGATGGTGAGTCAAAGCATAAACCCATCCTGATTCAGACAGCTGCAGCCCCTGCCACTCACAACGGCTCCCAGTAAAACTAGGAGCACCCTGCCTCTAAATGTCAGGCTGCACCTTCCCAGCACCAAGTCCTGGCAGGATGATGGTCATGCAGTAGCTGCTCTGGGCACAAAGCATGAAAATAAATGTTTGTTCTTTTTGTGGAAAGCCTATGGTATGAATAGAAGGTATGAAGAAAATAAGCATTTTTTTTAATAAAATGGCAAAGTTTTGCTTCGTGGTATTAGGAAATTTTGGAAAATAAATACACTGTAAGTAAATATCCTTTATTTTATACTAAACAATGCTTGCTTTGTTTCTCTCTTACTGATATTTTATACTTCTGTATAGTGACACAGAGGGATACAGTGATTTTTCTTGCTATCACCACCACAAAGCTGTTCAAGGGAAAGTGTCCAAGAGAAAAAGGACACTGTAAAGCAAAAGAAGACCTAGAAACCACACAGCAGAGTCACATAGCAATTAGGAGGTTTGAAATAAAGGGAAAACTTTGAAATAGAACAATTTGAAGGAAAACATTATGTAAAGTCCTTTACAGAAGCAAAGCCAATGAAGAGAAGAATGCCGCAGAAAAACAACACACAGAAAAGTAACAAAGGGGAGGGGGAAAAGTAATTTTAAAGCTGTGGAAATGTCAAGAGACACTGTCGGGGTAAAAATCAATATTCAAAGAAGCAGTGTACCACCTGGTTTTAGCAACATCCTGCTGGAAAGAATACGAATCTCATTTACAACTTGACATTTCTGGCCCAGCAGAACCCTGCGCAGGGGATCAGGCCTTTCGCTGAGTGGCACCAAGGCCTTGGCAATGCTGGAGCTAGGCAGGGCTCTCACCCACGCACCGCTCAGCGTGGCTGAGGTGTCCAGGACCAGAGAACACATCCCTCAGGGGAACCAGTAACTTGGTGTTTTACACAAGCGGCAGAGGCGTCACCAGCGGTTGCTCCAGCCTGCAATGGCTAGGGTTGAGATGACTGGGGAAAAGGAGAGAGACTGAAGAGCAGTCTTGCTCCTTCAGGTTTTAATGGGTGGAAATGGAGTTCATTTCGTGCCCCTTCCCCCTCCCAAAGGCTTCTACTTCAGGTGTCAGGCAAACAGAGTGGTGGTCAAACTTGCTCAAGATGAATACCGCCTCTGTGGTCATCTCCACTTTGGGGACAGGGGATCTAGGAGGCCTAAAAACTTTATGGCTCAATAAGTGTTTCCTGAAGGAAGAATGATTACCGAATAGGCATCAATTTTTAAAGGCATTGCCAAAATTTGGGAGCCAGGTATACATGGCCTGCATTGCTGTACGTCAGGGACTCTGTAGTCCGTTGGTCTCTCTCCTTCTTGGGTTCTGCCCTAACTTCACAAGTGGTATGGCGTGGAGTATAAAACTTTGCTGGGAAGCCTGGTTTATTAGTACAAAACTGCAAAGAAA